TGATTGTTAGTTCACACTGCAGACCAAAGCAGGAAACTTTGCTTTGAACAAGCCCTGTTACTTTTAGCTTCATATAATGGAATGAAAATGTTTTTGCATGCCTAAAGGATGGGAAGAAAAAATCTTGACATAGGTTCCTGCTCAGAAAACCTGCCCTCCCTACACATCACCCTCTCCACAAAAAACAATAATTAAAGTGTTAAGTAGTTCATCCCTGACCACTCTTAAGCAAGTTGTGACCTAACTTCAGCCCCCGTGTGTACAAGTATACAGTATACATAATATTCTTGTTAAAATGGCATTCAAGTTAAGGGCATTTTCTCTTTGCAGATGATGTTTTTTCACAGACAGAACCTGAAGAAGACACACAAGCAAATACAGAGGAAACAGAAGACACCAATGAGAGAAACGAGACAACAGCAGTAAATGATGCAGACACCTGTGAGAGATTGAAGGGAAATAACGGTCTTTCCCAAGAGACTGAATCTGCTCAACAGACACATGTTGGCTGTAACACAGAGGAGGCAGGAGCCCATGGTGGTAAGTGTTATAATTGTTAAACTGTAACTTAGGGAGTGCAACAGGAGACTGAGAGTGGAAAGAGGTGAATAGGAAGAACATTTTGAATTCATAGGAAGAATTCATAGGAAGAACATTTTGAATTCATAACTTTACATTGTCCCAGTGATGCAGATTCATGGTGTTCATATCAGTTTGGCTAGTCCAAATCTTGGAATCAGACATACTCAGTCTAGGGTATTAATCTTGGTAGCACTGGAGTATACCCCTAATGGCAGAAACTATTGAGAGCCAATCAGATTGCAAGGATAACCAGTGATTTCAAAATGGATTTAATAAATATGTATATATATATAACAGTAATTAAAAGCAAGAGTGCCTACAGCAAGTTCAACCCAAGTTGCAACCTCCAAAACTAAATACTGAAATAAGAGTAACAGTCAACCAGAGTCCTTAACGATACAAACCTGGGGCAGATCTAGGAGGGGTTCAGACATTTATAACACTCTGACTTGGCCTCAGAATGCTGGAAATCCCTTTTCGTGGAACCTCGATTATAAAATTTTCCAGGCACCCCCATAAAATGGACAGCTTTCAGCAGTGCATATCTCCATCCCCTTCTTTAAAAGCCTGTATCTGCCCCAGCAAACAATACTGAATCAGTCTGTATTGTTGTCTTAAGATACTCTGCTTAATACTACATGTACCTTACTGAGGGAACAGTTAGCATGTCAAACTGCACATGCATTTTTGCATTGTGAACATGCAGGATTGTCTGAAAACATGAGGGGGAAGAATGGACAAGCACAATGCACAGCCAAATGCTCACCAACAACACTTCTCCTCACAGTTCCTTACTGTTCTTTAGCTGAACAATGCACAAGGATGAAGTGTATTACAATTTCCTTAAATGTTTTTAAGGAAATGTGTACCCTGAAGTTTGTGACTTAAAGGATTTTAACTGTTGACAAAGCATGTGCCTAATGTTCATGTAGGCTGCATGCTTAATCCTGCCATTGTGAACTTCAAGTGACTGATCACAGCATGCTGTCCAAAAATTTGAGTCCATCAAGTGCCATTTATTCACCACTGAATGAGATAAAAGTTGCATGAAATGAGACCCCTCCCATTTACAATGAAAGTTTTTGTTTAACTTTTAAATGAGTATGAGTAGCCCAGTTCACAGATGCCCTTTGTTGAGTTCACTTCAAAGTTTACTTATTTCCCCATAGTGCATCTGTAACAAAGGAACCAGTCGGCACAGTACACAGAAGTTGATATAAATTCCCAGTTTCTCAAAATCTTTGTTCCAAGTTGGAAGCTTTCTAGCCTGCAGAACAGGCGTAATTTTTTTGCGCAGTTTAGGCGAATAGAGTCGCCTAAACTACGCAAAAAAAATTACACCTGTTCTGCAGGCTAGAAGCTTACTAAAGATTACTGTTAGCTAAAGAGGGTGGATTCCTGGGTTTGCCTTCACCTAGCAATATTTAATACATTATTTTCAACTCTTTGAATAACATAAAAATTCAAAACCTTGTACATCCTTCCTACCCTGTAGGATATTCAGTTAATTTAGATTAAATAATAAAAGAATAAACAACGAAAATGAAACTTGTCCTGTTGCCTTAAAAAACTGTTTCAAGCCATGCAATTTATTAAATCCTAAACAGGCCTAAAGAAATCTAAAGGTTATTGTCAAGTTTCCTTGCATAAAATGCACTATGCATACTATTCACTTGGAATTTCAGCTGTCGTCCCTGCTCACTAAGCTCACTAAGCTTCATGCGTGGTTATAGTTTAATACTGAGAATATAGCTCACTTTTGGTGGGATGTTGAAGGAGTGGCCTGAAATGTGTGCCTTTGCCTTGTCCCTTGACACAAACCTGAGGGTTTAATCCAAGGGGTGGAGATAACTAGCAGTTCAGGCTGATTGTAAAAGCCATGACATTTTAATGCTTATTGTTAACACTTATCACCTTTCCTGGGTGTCATGGGCTAGCAAATGGAGGTTTGGGGACACCTTTACAGAGAAAACTTTACTCTGCTTCATTAGTATTTGAGCAAAGTTTGTATAAAAAATTTCCCAGTTGAGATGCTTTGCAGCTCACTACTGCACTCTCGGCAATGTTTTGTGTAACTTGTGTCACCAGTTCTTTTGCCGCCTTTGTGCAATCAACTTTGTAATCAGAGTATGTAAGTTGACGTTTTGAGTATCCATCAATGTGGTAACTTACATACACATAATAACTTAACATCAGATTTAAGTGTTAAAGTGGAATTTTAAAATACGATTTGAAAGGTGAAAGTTAATTACAGTATATCAGGATGAGCCAGTGGGAAAGATTGAAGACAACATGATTCAGTCATGGCAAAAAGTATGCCTGCATGTGCAGCAAAGCCTCCCATGAATGGCCCAGTCTTTCTACCTATACCCGTAAGACAACATTTCAATTCAGCAGCCCAACTGAATTGAATTCAAGTTCACTCTTTTATTGTACACTGTTTCAGTAAAGCAAATAAACTATGCAAACCAACAAAAACATGACTGAGTATTTACATTGGTTCCCTGAATATATATAAAATTCTACTATCTAAGGTGTTGCCTTGTTGCTATTTGCTTCACAGTAAACACTTAAGTGTGAACAAGAAACTGCTCAGTGGGAATGCACCCACAAAATACTATATGCAAATGACACTGTAGTCTAGAGTAACATTTCGTTCTAACAGTATTTACAACCAAATAAAAATAGCAGAGACATGTACACCTTGTAACTAAAAATTGAAAATGTTGTCCAGTCAGTTGAATAAGCACTAGTCTTGTAAATTTCTACTGGAGGTGCTCTGAACATTATTCAAATCAAACCAAGAACACATTTTGTTCAACACCCATGACATTCTGATTAGCAAAACCATGAGTATGGTAAATGTTACCAACGATCTCTTTGTGAAATGTGATTCACTCAGGGGAAACAAGATTGGTAATTATTTCACTGACTGTCCTACCTAGGTAACTATTAGATCTCAAAGGTACATGTATACTACAATTTAAAATATTTTCTCCAGCATAGCACAATATTACTGACTGTGCTATGAATTTGTAACCACTGGATAAGGGTTGGAGTCACAGGAAACAAAAAGTTTAATTGGGATTAAAAGAACCAACTGGATTTTAAACTGACAAATTTTTCCAAGGTCTGTAAGTACCAAATTGCTGGAAAAGTTTTTTTTTTTACTTCTGAAGTAACTGTTGATAATTTTATTTTCACCCTGTCAGTTCTTATTTTCCCATAATATATAAAAAGTTTAGAATGATAACAATTGGAAGTTTCAAGGGCACTGGGAAAAACATTTTCTTTATATGGGCGAAGAGCAAAATTTTTCAAACAATCCCTGGGGTACTCCGTATGATGGCCTATACAGGGAGGCTCTGCCCAAACCTTAAACCTTTTTCAGGTTTAAGGTATATACAGGGGTACAAGGGATTTCATTTCATTTATCAGGTACTACATGAATATGACAAGAAGACTTCCTTTCTTGGTGATTTAGTCACAAATACAGGCCAGTTATGAAAGTATGTGAAAGGGGTACATTTTCTGCCAAAATGGTATACAAAAGGGTAAGGGGTTGGACCTTGGGGTGGAGCCTCCCAGTAGAGGAATTTGTAGAGTACCTCCCGGGACACAATCTCATCCTGAATTCACTTGAGATGACAGTTAAGAAGACAGATACTTTGAACACAACACAATCCCCTGTGCAAAAGCCTTGCAAAAAATCAACACTATTTATAATTAAAAATACTACTTAATAAACTGACAAGACAAAAGTTTAGAAAATGCAAAATTCCTTGTCACAAACTAGCATTGTTCCTCATTTAGGACATTAGGAATAACAGGAAGTGACCGCGCCTTTTTGTTCCGCTGGCTTCGTCTGGGTTGAACCCTAGTGTTGACATGCTGAAGTAATAAAAAGTAATAAGAAAAAGCAGATGAGAAGAACAAAAGATCTAGATGATCTTCCTTTGACTTCTGCTTTGTGCTCTTGTCTGAAATAAAAGAGTTATGTGTTAGCACAGTTTGGTTAGTCTTGCCCAGGACTCATTTACAAGGTTAAGCAGGCTGTACTGTATAATGCACCTTGTAAAACTGACCTATTGCTTGAATGTCTTATTAATCCAAACAATAGAGAGAGGATTGGAGTCAAACATATATTGCATCTTTTTCTTTAGTCTACTTGCTACAGAACTGGCTATGTGGATAATCCCCAAATAATGGAATTCTAGCAAGAACAGGTCATTATTTATTATCAATGCTACAGTACAACATGGCTATTGTAATTCTTTTTGGACTTGGAAAAAATTAAATCTGAAATTCCAAGAACATTTTTATCAAGTTATCAAGTTCGTTGAATAGAGTTTCAAATATTAAGAAAATATATTTTCATGTCTTTGATTATATCTTTCATTATAACCCACCCATTAATTTTGGTGCAATT